TTAAGAGTCTTGGGGTAATTTCCCTTTTGTGCTGGAAGGGGTCTGACAAGGCATGTCTCCAGATAATGCAGTTTATGGACGGATGGCTTGTCTCTCCATCGCTGCAGGGCCTATGTCTCGCTGTTCATGCGCCATTTATGTGAACCTGGAGCTGATGGTGCAGAGACCTTTGCAGATGGGGTCCCACGGGAAGGTCTTTCTCGACAGCATGTCCTTACTCGCATTGGGGTCATGTCACTTATACGCAAAAAGGTAGGTGCCTGGCAGAGCAATGTGGCCTTTGCTGGCCATGCATACAGCTGTAGTCACCAGGGTCTTGAGTTGGAGGGTTAGCTCTTCTTTCACACCTACCTTTGTTGTGTGCTCAGTGGTCTGCCTCGGCAGGTGTAAGGATGGGTTTTATGTATGACTCCTCCAGTGATAAGTCTTTCTCTCCTTCTTGTGCAGGTGCAGGAATTTGAGCATGTGAACGGCCGCTGGAGTATGCCAGAACTGGCAGAGATAGAGGAGAACAAGAAACTTTCACAGCCCAGCTCACCCTCCCCCAAAACTCCAACTCCTTCAACACCAGGGGATACGCAGCCGAACACACCAGCCCCTGTTCCTCCACCTGGTGAGGGCTCCCCTCTTGCACAGCCCTGCGTCCTGACCTTAGCCTGGCTGTTCCCCTCACCGGAACTGTGGTGGTGGGGCCTGGGGGTGGACGCAGATCAACTTACTCTCATGTTAGGAGGGCTGCCAAAGACATGTGCAAGCCCTTAAAGGCAAGAGAGGACACTGGCTTTCCTGGGATGAGCTGACAGCAGTGAGAAGCCCGGCATATTTGTAGTGGGCAGGAAAAGAGGGGTCATGTTAGTTCCATTTTGATGGGCCTGATCTCTGGGAGCAAAGAAGTGGTCTTGGTAGTAGGGATGACCTTACTGATTTGCTTCTCTTTTGTCTGCTGTGCTGCTCTGGCATGGGGAATACACAGAAGATGGAGTAAAAGTAGAAGAAGGAGCTAGTGCTAAGGAGCAAGGAGAGCCTTCTGAACCAGAGAAGGAGCTCAGTGCCTCTGCTGCTGAAACAGAGGCCCCTATGGAGGTGAGTTTTGGCTTTTTTGCCTTGTAATTTCTCTACTTCTGCCTCCTCTTCATTTCAGCTGAGGCAGAGATGAGTTTTTATAGTGATACTTGAAGATAATTCTCTGGTCCTCAGAATTGGCCTCACAGTTTTGTGTCTTTGCTTTTCAAATGACTGTGACTGTGTTCTATTGTCGTGCACTGCTATACTTCATGTCTCACTGTTTGCTGTCCTCTGCAGTGTGCTCAGCCTGTGGAGACACCGCCCCAGGAAGCAAAATCCCCAGTGAACTCCACAGAAGCAGATGAAAAAAAAGTAGAGGAAACAGAAGTGAAGGAAAGGTCAGATGAACCAATGGAAGTAGAAAGCAAAGGTACAAAGCACTGAATCCTAAAGAAATAGGCTTGAATGTAGAAAATCAGTGGGAAGTTACAGTATAGTATTGGGTTTTACTGGTTGGACAACAAAACTGTGGACTTGCTATATTCTGTGCATCTCATGTTCCCCTTCTTTCCTGCAGCTGATGTGGAGAAAGTGGAAGACAGAGCAGCTACTGAAAATCCCCCTGACCCTCCTATAATCACTCTGGATGAGAAAGGTGAGGCATTATGACTCCCTTCTCTTCCTTAACCCTTCTTCTGCAAGGATTCATTGTGGGTCCAACTTATTGCACTGTCTGCCATGTTTGTATTAATAATTTCCTGTGTGTACAGATGAGAAAAAGGACGATGATAAGAGAGATGTGGTGATGCTGCAGAACGGAGAGATGCTGAAAGAGTCAGTAGATGAAAGGCACAAGAAGGCAGTAAAGCAGCGCTTCATGTTCAACATAGCAGATGGTGGTTTCACTGGTATGTGATCTTTATCTGCTTGAACTTGTTTATAAGCTCCTGCTTATGTTTGTGAAATAACTTCCAACTGCTCTGGTGTCTCTTGCCTTTGCAGAGCTACACTCCCTCTGGCAGAATGAAGAGCGGGCTGCCACTGTCACCAAGAAGACCTATGAGATCTGGCATCGGCGTCACGACTACTGGCTCCTAGCTGGGATTATCAAGTATCCTTGCCATGACACACACATTCTCCCACCTTGTACATAATTTGTCACGGTGAAAGTGACTGTTCTGGATCTGACTGGCATAGGTTAAGTGAGAGAGTGCTTTATCTTCACAAGAGTGAACGTGATGGTGGGAGGGGGAGCTTCCTGCAGCATAGTTAAGACTTAGCAGGACATAGTTCTCATTCCCCTTCCTTGGCTCCTGTTTGTCCCCTCTCTGTACCCCATTTCCCAACTCCCTCTGGAGAACAGTATTGCCTGGGCTGTGTATTCCCTTGTTTTCACTGCCTTTGTTTGCCTGAGCTCATCCCATCTCAGTCATGGCTATGCCCGTTGGCAGGATATTCAGAATGATCCACGTTACGCCATCCTCAATGAGCCCTTCAAGGGTGAGATGAACAGGGGTAACTTCCTGGAAATAAAGAATAAGTTTTTGGCAAGGAGATTTAAGGTAAGGGTTTCTCTTTAGTGTGATAACTGCCTGAATCTCTAAGAACAGGTTCTTGCAGTTCTGAGTTTCCACCAAGAAAGTGAAAGATGTATGCAATGCCTTTTGTTTTAGGGGTAATAAAAAAGCAGTATATCTCAGGATCATGCTGTTGCTCCACAATAGGAGCTCCCTTTTTTCTGGAAGTGGTATTGGGGAGCTTGGTTCAGTGCTCTATCCAAATGTTTACTGCTCCGTGTGCTACAACCCCCTCCGTGTGCCTGAACAGAACTCTGGTTGCTTAATGGGCTGCCTTCAGTCTCTACTTCATCCTCTTTAGGAGTGAGCATAGCTTAGTTGTGGGAGTGATCTACGATCAGGTAAAAGCCATGTAGGTCTCAGTCTTGGGGCAAAACACTGATTGACTATAGACTGAATGATAAGTTCTGCACTGACAGGATTCCAGCTGATTTCTCCAAATCCTTACAAGATTTTAGACTCTTTCTATAAATAGGATGGAATACTTTTCCCTTGGGTTCTGTCCCATTTGCCTCGTAAAGAACGTGTAAAAAGAATCAAGAGGAGGTAGAGGAGTTGTAGTAGTCTATTAAACCAAATGTACCTGGGTTTTCATGAAGCCCTTGTTGTTTTGGGCTACTCGGTAAAACCAGCTGGTGAAAGGAGATTCAGCTACAGAGTCTCACGAGATGGTGGGGAATTGGATCAGGAGAGACTGGGAGTACAGACAAGCCTCCCTCTCAGGCAGCTGCTGAAAGACTCATTCCTGCCCCACCTTGCAGCTCCTGGAGCAAGCGCTGGTGATCGAGGAACAGTTGCGGCGAGCTGCCTACCTGAACATGTCTGAAGACCCATCCCACCCATCCATGGCTCTGAACACTCGTTTTGCAGAGGTGGAATGCCTGGCTGAGAGCCACCAGCACCTATCCAAGGAATCAATGGCTGGGAATAAACCAGCCAATGCTGTGCTGCACAAAGGTAATGCGGTGTGTTAAACAGGGGTGGGATAAGTGTTCAGCAGTGCTGTCCCCTCTGGGGTGTCCCTTTCCCGTCCGAACAGATGTCCCTTTCTCTTGTAGTTCTGAAGCAGCTGGAGGAGCTTTTGAGTGACATGAAGGCAGATGTGACCCGTCTGCCCGCCACCATTGCCCGCATCCCACCCGTGGCAGTGCGCCTCCAGATGTCGGAGCGCAACATCCTCAGCCGCCTGGCCAACCGCAGCAGCGAGCCCCCGCCGCCGCCCCCTCCCCAACAAGTACGTACCCGCTCTGGTCAGTAAGGGAGCTCTGCGGGGAGGGGGCCTCCCTGGGCCAGCCTGGCCTCTGGTGACCAGCCCGTGAGTCTCAGGTCCTCCTCTCGCCCTGCAGGTGGCCCAGCAGCAGTGAATTCCTGGCCCAGTGCTGTTGACCTTTCGGCCAAGCTGAAGTGACTCCCCTAGCCCACCCCTTCACACTCTACCCCTCTGCCTGACATTCCTGACTGGGTGCTGTTTCCCTCCATGGAAGCTGCTGCTCAGGTCTCTGGAAGGAGAAGAAACTCCTTCCTCTGCAGCCAGCCCGTTGGAGCAAGGAGTGTGTTTAGGAGAGAGGGGGATGGATGTATGATGGACTCTGTATATAGTGACTGGAGGCCCCAGCGCCATGTCTGTTACATGGAGAACCTGGCTGCATTGCTCGTTGCCTCCGCCTGGAATTCCAGTTTTCGTTCTTAATTTTATTTTGAGTTTGTTTACTGAGACAAGTGCGCAGGCAAGACCAAGCAAAAGCCAGGACAGAGACAAAGCTACCTCCATCAAAATCCTTTTTAATACAAAAACTGACCGGACTTGTCAACTACTAAGCAGCTTGAAGACAAAAGCAAACAACAATGAAAAACCAACAAAAAACAGAGCAAAACGTTGATAAAACTGAAAAAATAAAGTTTCCTTGTATTTTATTTTGTTGTCTCGAGTATCATGAGTGTACTGGGGTAAGTATGTGGTCTCAGCGTTGAAAGAAGATGTAGTCATGTCTTTTTGCTGCATCAGAGCAGCTTTTGGGGTGCCCTACCCCTCTGAGGAGGGCAGTAGCTGCCCCAGCCCTGGCAGTGTTTAAGGCCAGGCTCTATAAGGCTTGAGGACCTTGGTCTCAGGAGCGGTGTCCCTGACCCTGGCATGGGTGTTGGGCTAGATGATCTTTAAACCTGTGCACCCCCACCGTAACAGTCTGATTCTGTAACTCTCCCCCTGCACCACGCCTTTCTCTGCTGCCTGCCTTGCGCTGTTTACCCCCTGCCCCGGCTGCAGGACCCGCCCGAGTGCCGGCAGGCCCCTCCCGGTGCCGCAGGCGCTGCGGAGCCCCGGTGCCGCCGTTCCCGCGGCGGGGCGGGCCCGCGGGCCCTCGCCTTCCGGGGCCGGGCGGCCCGCGCCGCTGACGTTGCCGGCAGGGCCAATCAGCGGTGGCGATGGGCGCGGGTCCCGCGGCGCGGCCATGGGGCGGAAGCTCGACCCCAGCAGGAAGGAGAAGCGCGGCCCCGGGCGCAAGGCCCGCAAGCAGCGCGGGGCCGAGGTGGAGCTGGCCCGCTTCCTGCCGCCAGGTAAGTGCGGCCTGCACCGGCCCGCGCCCGCCCCGCGGCGCCCGCCCGCGGCCGTCTGACCGCCGCGTGTCTTCCCGCAGAGCCCGAGGCCGGCAGGAAGAAGCTCTCCAGTCACGGCAGAAGGAGGTGAGCGGGGCGGTTCGGCGGGGCGGGGCGGCCGGGCCGGGCCGGGGCTGATCGGCGCTTCCCCTCCCGGTGCAGGGCTGCGAAGAGGCGGCTGGGAGCGGGCGGCGGCCCGGCGGGGAGGAGGCCCGCGGGAGGAGCCGGAGCAGAGCGGGAGCCCCGAGGTGAGTGCGAGCGGGTGCGAACCGGGCTGGCGGGCCGCTGCTCCCCCGTCCTGCTTCCCCCGGGCGCTGCCGCCACCGTCCTTTTCTAGCGTCGTTTTCAAGGCAAAGGACACGTGGAATTTCGTTCTTTGAAATCACAGAATCCTACAGATTCCTGAGTTGGAGGGGACCCACAAGGATGGTTGGGTCAGCTCCTGGCACCATCCCAAGAGTCACACCATGTGCCTGAAGGTGTTGTCCAAACACTTCTTAAACTCAGACGGACTTGGTGCTGTGATCGCTTCCTTGGGAACTTGTTCCAGTGCCCAGCCACCCTCTGGGTGAAGAATCTTTTCCTGATATCCAACCTAAACCTCCCCTGACACAACTTTGATTGCCGCACCCTCGGGTCCTGTCACGGGTCACCACAGAGGAGATCGGTGCCTGCCCCTCCTCTTCCCCTCATCAGAAGGTTGCAGCCTGCAGTGAGCTCTCCCCTCAGTCTCCCCCTCTCCAGGCTGAACAGACCAAGTGACCTCAGCTTCCTTTCCAGACCCTTCATCATCTTGGCCCTCTTTTGGGTTCTCTTAGATAATAACAATTAATTTTATCTGATTTCTGGTGGCTGCCATGCCAGGAGGCAGTGTTGTCTGAAGAGTGAGTCAAAGGTCTCTCTTCTGCATGTTAAATCCGTTTTTTACTTCACCTCCATTCACAGCACGGTTGTTGCAGGCTGCTTTTATAGCTGAGGCTTTTAAGTCTTTGTGTTACATCTTGTGTAGCCCAGGAAACTTTTAAAGTAGAAAGAAGGAAGGATAGACAAAGACTTGGGACAGAGGGTACTGCAATATATCAGAGCAGGTACCATAAGAGTTTTGTGGCAGTGTTTTAATTTGGAATTCTAGTTAGATCTCCTGCAAGGTCCACTGAGGGACAGGTGAGAATATGCCCAGGACTTCATGAGATGCAGAGAGCAAGCAGTCCCTCCCTCTGGACAGGCAGCTCAGCACTCCGACTAAGGCCTTCTTGTGTAACAACTAAAAAAGCAGAGCAGCTCATTTTGGAAATATTTCTAACTTTTAACTGCTTCTTCTGCCTGTAGCTGAAGAGCAGCTGTCCCCACAGAAGGACAAACGTGCTGTAAAGGCAGCAGGACAAACTGCCCGTGGCCGTTCTGGCTTCAGTGATAGCAATTCCAAGTGGCTGGCTCCAGCCAAAGCCAAGAAAACCCAGCCAAAAGGAAACCATGTGGAATTATCCAGTGATGGTGAGCTGGAAGAGGGCTGGGAGATGGAGGAGGATGAGGATGGGAGCAGTGAGGAGATGGTGGACGATTATGGTGCTTCATCATCAGAGGAAGAAGAGGTAGGAACTTCTTGCCCTTGAGTACACAAGAAACACGTGATTTTGTTGGCTGAAAGGACCCCTCGGGCCTGGGGGAAGGGATGGCTTTGATGGCAGGGGGTGGAGAGATGGTGGAGAACTTTCCCTTCTTTCCTTCACAAGAATGATTTCAAGTTTAGCAGCTGATTCCAGCATAACATTCAGTGCTTTTGTTTGTTGTCCCTTTTAAACAGAGCAAGTAAGTTTCACAGATGGTGGGAAGCAAGGGGATGACTGTGGATGTTTTTTGATTAATCTTTTGTCTCTGTTTAGCTGCTGCCTATTGAAAAAGCTGCCCTGAAGCAGAAGCCTGAGAGGTGAGTGTGTAGAGCCTTTCCTGGGTAGATGAGGAGCCTGTGTTGTTATTCTTCTGTCTTTTGTGCCATCTAAGAAGTGGTAGTTGAAAAGCATCTGTGTTCTTTGTCCTTAGGGAAGCCCTCAGTGAAGATGACAGTGAAGAGGAGGAGGAAAAGGAAGCAGAGGAGGCAAGCAAGCAGAAAATGGGACAGAAGGAAGAAGAGGGCCCAGATCTGCAGCTCAACCTGGATATAGATGAGCCATTTAAACTGCCAACTAGTGAAGAGATTGAGAAGGAGGATATCCTTTTTATCTGTGACATCCAGAAGCCATGTGCGTGATGCAGCACGGGGCCTGGATACAACCAGAGAGCTTCACTTGGACTTTATCATGCATATTGCTTAGCAAAAGTGTCTGTGCATGACAAGGTATTTTTAGCTGAGCTGTCCTAATAGATAGTGTATAATGCTGTGCTTCTGTATAGCACAGTTAGGAAATCTGTGACGCCCTGTATGGGGCTTGGAACCTGCCCTAATTTTCTTTCTAGTCCTGAATACATATGGATGATTTATTATGTGGTTTGTTCCTCTCTACCCTGATTTTCCTGGTGGGTGTTTGCATTACCCATTCCCAGAGTTTCTGATGACAGCAATTCTAGCATCCAAAGTGCTTGCTTCTGGACTTTGGTGATTTTAATTTCCTGCCTCCCTTCTTACACTCCTCTGTACTGCTTGGTTGCCCTTGGAGAATTTCTGGTCTTTTTCTGCTGCAGGTAATGCTTTCTGTATTAAAACACTTCTTTAGGTTTTTTTATGTTTTTTTTTTTTTTTTCAATAGAAAGAAAATTTCTCTATTTATCTAAAGTAATTCTTTTAAACACCCTCTAGTCCTGCTTTGTGGACTTTTTTTGTCCAGTTTAATCCCTTGAGTCCTGCATCTGCTGAGCTCTGATGGAAGCAGTATTCCAGCAGAGCCTTTCTGGAGCAGGCTCTGTTGCGGCGCGCGCGTCCGGCGCGGCTCATTGTACTTGTAAAGAGCCCCTGTGTGAGTTCCTTGGCTGTTGGTCATTCCTTGACTGTGTTCCCACCTGCTGAGCCCCCTGACCTGCACGTCATTCACCAGCGCATCCAGGGCAACATGGAGGTGCTGCAGGACTTTGGGGTGAAGCGGGAGGAGGGGCGCTCCCGGCAGGAATACCTGGCGCTGCTGCGCCGGGACATGGCCGCCTACTACTCCTACAGCGACTTCCTGCTCACCAAGCTCATGGACATCTTCCCTCTCCCTGAGGTGGGATCCTGCCCTGCCCGTAGCTGTGCTGACCGACGGGGGTTTGGCTGCGTCCCTGAGAATTCATTTCTGTCTCTGTTCTCTGTCCCTTCTTCCATGCAGCTGATAAACTTCCTGGAGGCTAACGAGGTTCCGCGCCCCGTCACCATTCGCACCAACACGCTGAAGACGCGGCGGCGGGACCTGGCACAGGTGAGCAGGAGCCGCTGGCCGTGTCCTGAGCTGCCTGTCCCCCAGAGCGGCGGCTCAGTCCCTTCTCCTTGCCCTGCAGGCTCTCATCAACCGTGGCGTGAACCTTGACCCCCTGGGGAAGTGGTCGAAAACGGGGCTGGTTATTTATGACTCCACTGTGCCCATCGGTGAGATCACCTTTACCCTACGGGGCTGAGCTCACCCACTCCTGCTCCCCTTTCTTTTACGTGTCACCTTCTTCTGTTCTGCCTTCCCTGCCCAGGTGCCACCCCGGAGTATCTGGCCGGACACTACATGCTGCAAGGAGCTTCCAGTCTTCTCCCTGTCATGGCACTGGCTCCACAGGAGAATGAGCGCATCCTGGATATGTGCTGTGCCCCAGGAGGCAAGACCAGCTACATAGGTACCACCCTGGGGCCTTGGGAGGGATGCTCTGTCACGTGAGGAGTTCCCACACAGAAGGGGGAATGGAGGGGGACTGAACTCGAGGAAAGGAGGGGGTGGCTGTCACTGGAGATGAAGGCACATGAGGTTTTCAGCCCTTTGCTGGTGTGTTTTGCCCTCTGGCAGCTCAGCTTATGAAGAACACAGGGATGATCCTGGCTAATGATAGCAATGCCGAGCGGCTACGTAGCGTGGTAGGGAATTTGCACCGCCTGGGAGTCACCAATGCTGTTGTGAGTAACTGCGATGGACGCCAGTTCCCCAAGGTACGTTCCTGCTTACAGTGCTTGCCCAGAGCTGCTCTGCTGTCCCTTTGGTGAAGCTGTGCTCTCCAGAGTCACCTGTCACAGCAGGATGAGCAGAGCTGCTGGGGAGTGTGTTTGTTACATGATACAGAGGCAGGAAGGTGGACAGGGAAGAGGGAGAAGGAGTTTTTCCTGCTTTCCCAGTCTTCTGGTTCCTCTTCTAGTCTTGGCCTTGTTTTGAGTTCCCACCTGTGAGCGTAATTCCAAATCTACATCTGCCTGTAGGTGCTTGGAGGGTTTGACCGTGTCTTGCTTGATGCTCCTTGTAGTGGAACAGGTGTCATTTCCAAGGATCCTGCTGTCAAAACCAACAAGGTGGGTGGCAAGTGCAGACTCAAGTATGAGTCATGAGAGGAAGGCCTTTGGGGGCAGCTTTGTTCTTGAGAGATACCTACAATATTTTTTTCCTTCTCTTTCTTATTGTGTGTGTTGTACCAGGGCTGGTTTCTTGGTATTACTTCTGCAGAAGACTCCAGACTCTTTTACATTATTTGTGCTCTGCTCTCCTGTCATTCCCTCATCCATAGCAGAGGCCTGGCGTGCTTCCCTGTGCCTGTGGCATCCTAACCTTTCTTTCTCCCTCAGGATGAGAAGGATATCCTGCGTTGTGCCCACCTGCAGAAGGAGCTGATTCTTAGCGCCATAGATTCGGTCAATGCTGCCTCAGAGACAGGGGGCTACATTGTCTACTGCACTTGCTCCATCATGGTACGTGCCTCCTACCATCATCTGCTGTGGTCACCTCCTCCTCAGGAGATGCTGGGGTTTGGATCCTAACGCTTAGCCTCTGGCAGGTGGAGGAGAACGAGTGGGTTGTGGATTATGCCCTGAAGAAACGCAACGTCCGTTTGGTGGCCACAGGCCTGGATTTTGGCAAGGAAGGCTTCACCAGGTGCGTGCCGGGTCTCAAGCTGCACATGTGGCTGCTCCTTGGTGGCCAGGCTTGAGCAGAGGTGCTGTATCGCTCCTCACCCCACTTCCTCCTCCAGGTTCAAGGACCGTCGCTTCCACCCGTCCCTCAAGTTCACGCGGCGTTTCTACCCCCACACGCACAATATGGATGGGTTCTTCATCGCCAAGCTCAAGAAGTTCTCCAATGCCATCCCGCAGGCACAGAAAGGTGACGTAGTGCTGGAGCTCAGCTGAGCTGGCTGGGGCTGCCCTCGCAGGCTGCTAACCCTGCAGAAGGCACGCGGGTTCTCCTCACAGCGCCTTTCTCTCCTTTCAGATGAAGAGCCTGCTGTGGAAGCGGCAGCTCCGTCCGCTGTCCCTGATACCGTTATCACGGAGCCTCCCCCCAAAAAGAAGAAACTTGAGGGATCAAAAGCTGACGAAGAGCAGAAGCTGCCCCATCCTGCTTTGAAGAAGAAACGTTCATTGCAAGCCCAGAGGAGACCCTTGAAGTCTGTCCGGCCTTCTCCCAAAATGATGCGGCCTAAAGTCCCTACCAGGAAGAAGAAGCATAGAGTGAAAGCAAATGGACAGTGAGAGGAACTGCTTTTCCACGTGTTGGTCCCTTCCTTGGAGAGCAAAGGCTGCTGCAGCTCTGTGTGTACCCCCACTTTGCTGCTCTGTGCAGATCATCTCTGCAGCTCTGAGCACCTGGGACAATGATAGCCCCCTTTGCATCAAGGACTGACGCACTGACCCATTAAAAGTTTTATACTCTTGCTCAAGTCTTGTTCTTTTTTCTTGGAACATTAAATACAGAATTCTGCTGTGTCCCCTTATTCCTTTGCAGCAGAAACCCCTCTTACTCCCAGCAGATGCTCTGGCATTTCTGGTGTCTGTCCTCATTCCCTACAACAGGGATGTTTGTGCAGAAGCAGTGGGAGCTGAAATCCTTGCTGCCTGCATGAAGGCTGTATTGTGTGGAGCTGTCAGCTGAGTGCTTTGTCTGGGCAAGGCTCTAGCCCAGTGCTTCCCCAGTTCCGTTGTCACTTAGTTCACTCTTGTGACTGTCCCCATTTCACCATTTTTCTGGTCTCCAGCAGTGTCTCAGTTCTTGGCCTCCCAGACTTGAGCAGGGATTGCTTTTGGTTTGTGGAGCTGTACAGTGAAATCTCTGCCTTTATGGTCACCCAGCTGCAGCTGCTCCTCCTAAGACACAGCGAGCAGTGGTCTGGGCTGTTTCTGTTTAAATGTCCTGGTGTGCTACGTGTGAGGCTGCAGCTTTCCACCCTATCGATGCCACCAGGCACAGAGTGATCAGCAGAAACTGGACCATGCTGGTGGATTGTCTGCCCACGCTTTGCTGGGTCACTGGCAGCTGGTCCTCGGGCTTGTGATCTGTCTGCTGCCTGGTTCTCAGGCCTCTTTCCTGCTTGCAGGCTAGCCCAGCTTGCAGTCAGCTAACGGGCCAGCAGCGTGCATGCATGCAGGGAAAACGGCTGGGATTAGCTTAATGCCAGGCCAGGACAGATGGTGGTAATTGGGAGCAGGGCTCAGCCACACAGGCACACTGACCAGCAGCCACTCTCCGTGTGACTGGCTCCTATTTATTCCTTTCTCCATTTCCTATGCTCAATTCTCCCTGATTTAGCTCGATGCCTCCCTTGATCCTTCCCCTCAACAACCCATAGTAAGTTTTGCTCCCATAATCTTCCTTAAAACATTGCATAATAAACTTTACACGCTCCTGCAGTTTCTCTCAAACATCCCATCACAGATCTGCTCTTTCCCACGAAGCCCATGATAATGGTTTTTTATCAGTTGTGAAATTTCTGGCTAAAGCTCTTCAAGGTTGCACTTGAGTGATTCCTGTAATGGTTCAGTGTCTCAGGAGTCCTGGTCTTTGTTACAGACCTTGTTATCTTCTGCTTTTTAGGGCTTATCTATCTGTTTGTTTTGTTTACTATAACCCTGTTTGGAGTGGAGAGGGGAACTGACTTTATCATTTTGTGTTGAATAGCCATTAAACAAATATCTTCCTAGTTGAAAATTAACTTTTTCCCCATGCTTCCTTCCCCATGTGAATTAGGTCAGGGAGGAGCCTCTGAATGCAACTGTCTCACTTTGGGTTTGTGTGTGGAGGTCTGGATTGTTGGTTACAGAGGACCCAAGGGAAGATTTTCGATGTCTTTCAGAATAATTAAATAAATGCTAGGTGCAATAGCACCCAAGGGAAAGAATTACTGCTTCAATATTGCATTTCTAGTACCCCCCCATCTGCATAAATGCTGTAAAACTGGTAAATGTTCAGAGAAGACAAATGCACCCTAAGTTTTAGTGAGAAAAGCAGCAAGAGCCTCTTTAAGCCCTGGGCCTGTCCTTTCGGGAGCAATGTGGATCTGTCCTGTGTTGTTGTTGCTGCCTGCTGAGGTAACCATGTGAGTGTGCAGCCTCATCTTGAGATCCGGTTCATCCTGATAACCCCATCAGCAGGGATGGAGTTTTCCTGGCTGGGATCCCAAGTTAACTGTCTGTTTTCCAGCAAATGTCCAAATTATGGTGGAATTTCAGCCCTGAAATGCAGGAATAACCACTGCTTTAAGTGTGTCAAGAAAATTTCTCTCTTGCTGAGCGTTGTTCCAATCACTTTGCATGCCTGCAAACCTTTTGTTATAGCTGGGAAGAGATGGGATAAATTTTCATCTCTCTTTGGTGGTTTGATCTCCTGCTCTTGATTTCAGCTGTTGAAGTTATCACTGCTCAGAGAGATAATGCTGAGTGTGACATTGAAATGCCACCATTGAGCTTCAGAGGCAGTACTGGGGATGCAGCAGCTGGGGACAAAGCTTGGTGGTTTCCTCTGCATTCTGGTACCAGGCTGTGGTCACATTAGGCTTGTGCTTGCAGCACCTCCTTACTCTGGGAATCTTTTGTTACCTGAAAGCTGAGATTTCTGGAGAATGTGACTGCTGGATCATCTTTCAGTACCTTCCTTTAATGTGTTTTAATATCTGAAAGCTGCTGATAACGAGGCTTGCGGGAGCTGAGACAAAGCAAAGCAAGAACTGAGGCAGAGCAAGGATTGAAAGCAGATCTGAGGGGAAAAATGCTGTCACAGATTAAAAGCTTGTTGAGAGGAGTCGTGATATCTGTTCCACTGTGCTGTGTGCCATCCTTCTCCCCAGACTGGGAGTCTGTTGGAGAAGCCTTATCAGGGCACAATGAAGAGAGCCAGCTGGCAGCTCCTGCCTTGCAGGCTCCAGCAGCTCCCCTCTGCACGCCGGGAGGGAGAGGCTCTGCACCCTTGGGGTGCTGCAGGAAGGAAAGTGAAGACTTCTGGGGACAGGAGTGTGTAATGGAAAGAGAAGAGACTGCAGCGGTGACAGGGTCGGTCACTGACTCCAGTGATGTCATGTGCTGTAATGTCTGCTCTGGCTGCGTTGCCTCATGTCCGCCTGTATCCTGAGCAAGGGGCTGAAATCCTGCCCGGCACAGTTCAGGGACTAGGGTATGAAATCTGGATCGTCGTGCACACACTGCATTGCACATAACACCCAGAGATACAGACACCTTTGTAGGGGCTGAATCCACAAATGGCCTAAGAGCCATCAGTGGGTCTTGCTCCCCCAGCTGTCCATCCCTGCTAGGGAGGTGTGGAGAGCTCCTGAGGAGGATGTCTGCAAGTCCCACCTGCCTGATGGAGTCTGGAGTACCGCTGAGAAGGTAAAATCTGTTGGGTCCCAGGCTCTAGTACTGCCTAGAGCTGTCTTCTCATGAAAACCTGGCTTCAAAACTCCCTCCTGGACTGGTGTTTGTGTATTTTTAGAAGAAAATGCATGCCCTCCTTTGCTGTTAGACAGGAACATTTCTGTGTGTTACGTGTGGCGAGCACCCAGCTGCTGCTGGCAACTGCTCCTCTGCACCAATTTCTCCACATCTGCACTCAAATCCAGGCAGCTGACTGGGCTCATGACTTTGCTAGGCCCAAAAGTCGTGTGTGCATTGCAACACCTCCCTCTGGTTGTGGACAGAAGCAATTTTATGGGTCAGTTTTAGTGAAGAATCTTGGAAGTCAGAAGACTTGAGAGTTTACACAGAAATACTTGGGCAGTGTTGAGCAAGGGAGGAGGTACCACTGAGGTACATGGGGGAAAGGAGAGCAGGGAGATGGGGTACAGACACGCCAAGGAGACCTATGCCTTCCAAAAGGAGCCTCTGTGAAAGCTGTGGAGCTGATCTGGACAGGTTTCACCTGTGAAGTACCTTTGCAAGGAGGGTGTGCTAGCTACCAAGAGCTTCTGAGATCTGGGAGAGGAGGAGCATCTCAGCCTGGTAATGGATGTTACAGCTGGGCAAATGCAAAGGAGACAGGTGATTTTAATAGAGGTTTGCAGCTGGGAAACCTACCTTGATTTGCCCATGGAGGATAGTGGTAGAGGCTTAATCTCTTTTCACTGCACTGTCAGCAATTAGAGACAGAGTCCCACAGGAGTACCTGATCTGAACTACAGGAATTTGCACTGTCTGTTTTGCACAGGGTCAGAAAATGCAGTGCTTCTTCCTTGGCCTTAAAATCCATGGAAGATAAATACCACGTTTGCAAGTGTCTTTTTTCACACTGGCTACAGGAATGATTTTAAGGGCTGTAACGAGCAGCTCTGCATGTCAGCAGCTGCAGTCCAGCAGTGCCACTGCTGACCCTGAGCTGATAAAGTGGGAGCAGGAGCAGTGGGAGGGTCTGGAGATGTGGCAGGTGTTAGGTGACCCAAGAGGGGAAGATGAGGAGCAGGAGCTGTTGTGCCGCAGTGAGATTGAGGCCCAGAGGAGAAGTGCTCTGGGTACCAGGATTGTCTCCAGCTTCTGGGCTTCTGCAGGAATAAGCAGAATAATTTGGCCCTTTGCCCCAGTAATCTTCTGCATCAGTAGGAATCCTTTACTCCAGCAAGTATCCTAAGCAAACAAAGTTAGAGAAAAAAGGAGGCTCCACGTTGCCTCCTGTCCCGGAGGCAGCAGGAGTGTTGGTGGAAGAGCTGCTGGAGGTCTGTAGCCCAGTCCCTGCTGTAAGCAGGGCTGTCCTGGCACTAGGTCACATCACTGGATTTGCACAGCTGAGCCCCAAGAACCACCACAAAGAGAGATCCCACCACCTGCTCCAGTGCTGTGCTGGCCTGCTGGTAAAAAAAAAGCTTTTCCTGATGGATGGCAATGCCTTCCTCCACTGGCATTTCATTAATCAGCTCCACTTGCTGGGTTTCCCCAGCCGGACAGGGGCAGAGCTTGGGAAAGCACTTGCTGCACAGTTTGTGGCGTTGCTCTTGCCTGTGCTCTCCACTGCACCAGCAGATCCCCCCAGTCTGACCTTGCTTTCCCAGGTGCAAGGGTGTGGAGGGGTAAAACCAGGAGTGTGTGAGAGGGGAGGATGCTGGCAGAAGGCACGGGCTGCCAGGCACGCAGGCAGGCTGTGGCAGCGTGGGGGACGGGTGACAGGACGTGGCAGCAGGAAGGAGGGAGTCAGCAGTGGCTGAAAGTCACATGCTGGGAGGTTTCCGAGCTGGAACTGTCACTGCTGCTTCAAAACAAGCTTCTTGACTGGGATCCCTCTTGTCCATCTGTCCTTCTCTTTTCCCTGGGTGTTTATTTGGTGGCATTGCTGCCAGGCACATTGCTCCCTACCAGCTGCTGTTGCAGCACTGATTTTTGGAAGAAGGGAATCTCTTCTGCCTGCCCATGAGGACAGCCTTCCTGCCCTCCACTCCCTGGAGAAAAGCACTGCTTGCCACTGCTCAGACTCCCTAGTCAGAGGAAGAGCAAAGGAACATCTGCTTGAGAAGAGGAAAAGCTTTAAAAAGGAGGTGACAGAAAAGCTCACTTCTTCCCCAAACTAAGCCCATCTCGGAGGGACTGAAATCCAGTTGAGCTTCAGTGGTCATGGGTGTGCCAGGGAGGATGCAGATGGTTACTGGTGGAAGTATTATAAATGCACTTGGGGGCTGCTCTGGGGAGCCTTGAGTCGTGGGCAGGACAGGGGAGATAGGCAGGCCCACAGGATATAACTGATGCTGGACACAGCAAGGCAGGAGAGGGGAACAGATTTGTTTTGGACTTCTCCCGGGTCAGGATGGCAGAAGAGTAACGGAGGGATGGAGGAGACCTGTAGCCCTGGAGGAGAAGCAGCAGGGAACATACAATAGGCAGACTCTCAGTCAAGACTCACAAAGCTGGCCATCCTCAGTGGAGCCGGGAAGCTCCCGGCAGTGTGGATTGAGCCATGCCTTTGATCCCAAGGGAAGGGCTGTACCACACTGCCCCACTGGAGCACGCCCAGCTCCTTCCACAGAGCTCAGCGCAGTGTGGTGCTGAGCATCTCTCTGAATTCCAACCCACTGCTCGCTCACCCCTTGCTGACGGCTCAGTGAGACATCCGAGGCCGCTTTGCGCAAGTGCCACACTCGGCTCAGCTCCTCAAGTCCTGGGGGAACGGGCCAGGAGCACGCAGACAGCAAGGGAACACAGGTGTCCACATCCATAAAATATTTACGTAGCGATCGATTTGTGCGCAGTCTCCTCCCACCGGGTAATGGGGTGAGGGGCGACGCCAGCGCTGTCTGCAGAATTCACCTGGGGTCGGGGTCAGGGGGTAAGAGGCAATGACCTAAAGAAGGCTAAAAGAAGGGACATGGAGCAAGACCCGAGGCTGCTTTGTGAACAAGGAAGGAGGAGGCCGGCTGCAAGCCGAGCACGGTATCCGAGAGGCTGCCTCCACACAGCCTCCTCGGCCCGCTGGCTCGCCATTGTCCAGCCCGTAGGCGGGCTGCGGGCACAGCTGGGGCAGGGCCGTCCTGGGGGGCTCCAGAGAGGACAACGAGAGGGTTTGGGGTGCAGAGGCGAACTTATGCCTTCTTTAAGGGGGGCAGCTCTGGGAAAGCACTAAATTCTATGGAAAAAAAAGAATAAAATATTAAAAAGGAGGCAGAAGCACACTGTGTTGCAGCTGGGCTAGTTACGGAAATCGGTAACAGGCGGGGCTTCAGCTAGCGGTGCCGGAGAGGGACTTCCCTCCGGGGAATCCTGCTGGACCGGGCCGCGTCCCTTCGCCTCGGGGCGCCCCAAAACCCTCGGGGGAGGCCGAGCCGCCCCTCGGCGGGGGCCGGCAGAGGAAAGGGAGGTTCTGCCGCGTCCCCTCTTCTGCTCGCTCCGCCCGGGGCCGGTGGCGGGGAGCGGGCGGGAGCGGGGGCGGCTCTCGGCTCCGCCGCCGCCGCCGCCGCATCCCCGCCGCAGCGGAAGCCGCGCCCCCGCCGCCGGGGCCGGCCGGGCGCATCCCCCCGCCCGGCGCTCCCCGCCCCGTCCCGCCGCCGCCATGAACCCGCTCTTCGGCCCCAACCTCTTCCTCCTGCCGCAGGAGCAGCAGGGGCTGGCGGGCCCCGAGCTGCCGCCGCCGCCCGCCGCCGAGCCCCTGTCCGGGGAGCCGCCCGCCGGCCCCTTCCCCGCGCCGCCCGCCGCCATGGCCCTCCGCAACGACCTGGGCTCCAACATCAGCGTCCTCAAGACGCTGAACCTGCGGTTCCGCTGCTTCCTGGCCAAGGTCCACGAGCTCGAGCGGCGCAACCGGCAGCTGGAGAAGCAGCTGCAGCAGGCGCTGGAGGAGGGGGCGGGCGGCCGCGGCCGCGGACCCCCGCGCCGGGACCAGGCGGTGCAGACCGGCTTCGTGGGTCCCATCCGCACCCTGGGGCTGGGGCTGGGGCCGGGGCTGGGGCTGGGCTCGGCCCGGGCGCTGGGGTCCCCCGGCTCCCGCCCCGGCGGTCCCGGGCAGCCCTCCGCCTACTCGGCCGGCTCCCGCTTCATGCCCGGCACCATCTGGTCCTTCTCGCAAGCGCGGCGGCTCGGCCCGGGGCCCGAGACCACCCTGGTGCAGGGACCGGGCGTCTCCTGGGTCCATCCCGACGGGGTGGGTGTGCAGATCGACACCATCACCCCCGAGATCCGAGCGCTCTACAACGTGCTGGCCAAGGTGAAGAGGGAGCGCGACGAGTACAAGCGCAGGTGAGAAGGGGCGGCGGGAGCGACGGGCACCAGCGGCATTCCCCGGGACACCGGAACGATCGCCGGGGAGGCTGCAGGGCTCTGCCCGGTGCGCGATGTGAGGGGGAAGCAGGGAGGGAAGGCGACGGTCCTCGCCAGACTTCTCGGGCTGCAGGCAGCATGAGGAAAAATGTGCACCCCTGAAAGCATTTGTTTGTGCCTGGGTCTCCTCCCTTGCCAGCCGGTGTGCGAATCCTCTCGGGATGTTTGTTGAGCCTTTTTCCATCTTACCAACCTGGCGTGAGTGACTAGAAATGCTTTTCCAGGCAGGGAAGGAATAACTCCAGGAGCTGTGTTTTAAAGCCAAGGGGGTCTGGGAATGCTCAGGAAGGAGGAGCAGCGTGAAAGTAGGTGAGGAAGGTGGACAAGCAGCAGTGAGCAGGTTTGGATTGGAGAAGGCTGCTGGGAAGGAAGGAGTTCTCTGGATGTTTCGGAAGGCGTCGAGAAGCCCCTCAGCAGCGTGGCTGGCCTCTCCTAGGCCCTTTCCCTGGCCAGTGCTCTCCAGCTGGCCCTTAGCAGCAGAGAGCCGAGGCAGGACACCCCACTCCTCGGGGGCTTTCCTCCCGACCCAAAATAGCTGTGGCTTGGCATGTGCCTAGGAGAAGGGTGAAGCAGAATGCAAAGCTAATCTCTTGGCAGGTTCTTCTTTCCCGTGCAGGGTGGCCGCTGCTCTCGCCTCTTGCTTTGTGTCAGGCCACTTTCCGAGGCCTCTCCCGGATCCGCACGTAGGATGAGATCAGGCTGGGCTGGCATTGTGGGGTCAGAGCACAGGGCCGGGCGAGAGCGTCACCGGCGACTGACACCACACGAGCCACTGCTTTGGGGTTTTTTCAGAAGTCACGCTATGACGCTTTGGAAGCAGTTAGAAAGTTTGTGATTCCACAGCCAACTCCCCACAGGAGCCATGCCACTGACCGGTTCTGCACAGCCATGGGCTCCAGTGCCAGGACCGAGGCTGGGGTCCAAGATGACACCTTATGCTTTTGGCTTTATAAGGCTTAGGCTGAGCAAACTTGACTGTCAGATGCTCTGGAGGCACTGAGCAAGGCACGTGGAAAGGAAGACTTGGCATCTCTTCTTTGCCACCTACTCTGCATGTACCTAAGGCCTTTTGTTATTAAGCCAGTGGTCAGGCTCCTTCTCCAGAGGAGAGCAGCACTCCCTGCATTGCATTTTCAGATCAGAGAGTGGGAAGCTGGAGCCAGTTTTTTGGCCAGGAAAGCTTGAGCCTCAAAGTGGGTCAGCCAGAGAGGACCAAGTTGGGTTTGTTGGTGCTGCTGAAACTTGGGGGGAATGGAGAGCTTTTCAGGGTTGTCCTGCTCTGGCAAGTGAGCTTCAGGGAAGGCTGCGGAGAGGGTGACAGAGGGACTGCTGTGGGTGAGATGGGGGGGCACCACAAGCTGCTATCAGCCAATGTTATTGGTGGGATCTATTTTTGGAGTGTGTTACCAGGAGCTGGGGGAAAGCAGACCCACCCCCAGACCCTATCCAGAACTGGGAACTTTCTGACGGGTACAGCCAGGTCCCAAACAGGGGAATGGGACAGAAGGATTCCATTTCCACGCCCTCCTCCATGCTGGGGGCTGACACCAACATCCCTTGGGAGCTGAGAGTTCCCTGCCACAGTGGGTTGTGATCTGCCATGGGGACAGTGCAGCTGGTGTCATGCATTTGCCACCTGCCTGGAGACAGATGGAAGAGGCCATATTAACACAGGACTTCCCAGTTCTCTTACCCATGGCTTGGGTGCTGGAGCTTTTGAGCTTTTATCAGGTCAGCATTGCTTCTGTGCGCCCCACAGCACTTGGAGCAGTGCAGCAGGAGCTTCTCTCTGGATGCACAGGGCCTGAAATTCAAGTCAGGGATCCAGGAGGGCTGTGGGGGCTGTGGGGAGGTGTGAGAATACTTGCAGCAGCATGAAGGAGGCTCACAGGAGCTGCACTTGGGAGGAGCAGATTGAAATTGGGTGGCCTGGATAGGGGCAAAGGGTGCCTGTGAGTATCACACAGACCTGCTAAGTGCTGGGGATCTGAGAGTCTCATCAGGTTTGTGCTGTCTGCTACACCTACTCCTTGTATCCACAAGTAGTTATGGATGTTGCAAGGACACACTGGAGGTGTGGAGTGAGCGGTGCTACAGCAGGGTGTGTTAGAGTCAGAATGGTTTGGGTTGGAGAAGACCTTTAGGGGTTTACCCACTCGTGTCTCCCTGCTGTGAGGTTTCACTAGATCAGGTTGCTGACCTTGAACATTTCCAGTGATAGGCCATCCACAACTTCTCTGGGCAACCTGCTCCAGTATCTCACCACCATCATAAAAAATTGTTCCTTATGTCCAGTCTAAACTTACCTTCTTTCAGTTTAAAACATCACCTCTTGTCACTGCAGGCAAAAGGTCTGGTACAAAGTCTCTCCATTCTTATAAGGCCCCTTGTTTATTAAAGTGCTTCAGGAAGGTTTTTGTTGTTGTAATTGCCCTCTGAGGAGCTGTGCCAGGCTGCAGGGCCATCCCCATTGACGTGAGCTCCAGCATAGTTCAGATGTGGCAGGAGGGGGGATAAGTGGAGCTTTCCTGAGGATAAGGCCCCGAGCAGCCCAAAGCCCCGGTGTGCACTGACCCTGCAGGATGGGGTAAAGCACCCCAGTGCCTGTGGCAGTGAGCAGGATTTTTAAAAATGGGGGAATTGTTGATTTTTCTAAGTGAACTTGTTGAAGGGACACACCTGGCAGGGACAGCACTGCATCTTTCCACACCTCTGGCTTTGGGAGAGCTGTCCCCTAGCTGGGAAGGAGATGGTCAGGTCTGCATGCAGCTGGGACCCTCCTGCCCTCGCTGTCTGCCTCTGGGCAGGCTGTTGCTTTGCAGCAGTGCAGGGAGGACCTCCCCTCTCCCCCTGGCACACCGGTGGCCGTGGGGTTGTGCGGGGCAGCCTTGCTTCCAGCTGGCAGCGACCTGGCGGCGGCGGCTGCGGGCGCAGTGCTGCACCACTCCTATTATTAGGAGTGGTGCATTGCAGGAGGGAGCAGGGGAGAAGGAGCCAGGCTGGAGATGGGCAGGAGAGAGGTTTGCAGTGCATGGGTGCGTGGATTTGTCCCTGGTAGGGTGAATTGCTGTTTTCTCCTGCCTTTTAAGCCGGTGTGTATGTGACCTGCACTCGTCTTCCACAGCATTGGTGTGAAATGAACTCAGGATTTGCAGCTATGCTTTATGTCCCCAGTGAGTCTGGGCTATATAGGGACGCAGAGGGAGGCGGGGACCAAAAAAGAGGCAGTGCCACACCAAGAAAGATGCTGAAATTTTTTTATTCTGGTGGAAGGCATTTTTTGTCCCTAGGGAGGGAGGCTTTGTTTGAGCAGTTCCCATATAAGGGCAATTCTACCTTTTAACTTTCTCCTTTCTTTTCCCTTCATGTCTCTTCCCCCAAAGGGATGGGAACACTCTTTGATTCCCCTTCTGAAGCTGTGGTACGGATCCAACACCAGCACAAGGAGTGCACACTTTTATCCTTGTTTGAGTAAGGAGCAGCATTGCTAGCTTTAAGAGCTTAGAAATTCACAAGCCAGTGCTCTCCCACGTCGTCAGATTGTCCAGATACCTCGAGATAACAAATGTGAGGGCTTTTCATATGCTTTCTGGCCTCCTAGACCTTAGGATTTATTGTTCAAACTTGGTGTGGGTAAGTGGAGGAGAGATTTTTTTCACATCCTTGTGCAGAGTCAGAGTGTCTGTGTTGGTGCTTGCAGGCATTAAATAGAAACCAGACCTCACATCACCAGGAAGAGCTCAGCTCTGGTTGCTATCCCAGAGTGATCTCACTTTTTCAGAAAAACCTGGCTCTTCCAGAAGAGCCAGGAGCTGGGTAAGAATGCAGCAGCCCTGCCCCACGCCGCACCGCAGCACGAGGCACCCCCCCTGCCCTATGGGATCGTCATTTGGCCAAGAGCAGCACGGCTTGATGGCCTCCCAGCAGACCGTGGGCTGAGCCAGCACTGCAGCGAGACCCAAGAGGTTGACCTCATGCAGTGAAATATAATATAATAATTGCTAGGGGATGTGTCTTTGCGCAGCAAGGCTGGGCGCCTTGCAGCTCCGCTTTTTGCAAAGCTGCAGAGCCCAATACACACCGGACAGCCCGGCATAGAGTGGCACAATCCATCCTGCTTCCTTGTGGGATGACACAGTGTTCTTTGCAACCTGTCACGCAGCAGTAGAGCCGAGGATCTTGTGCCCCTGGCCAGGCAGCGTGGCCTGCCCAGGGCAGCCCTCTGCACTGGGCCAGGCAGAAGAGCAGCCCTCGGTGCACGTCGTGGTCACTCACACCGTGAGGGGGTCTGCTGTCAGGATCGGGGTTTGTGCTTCTGGACAGCCCGAACTGCGGCGCCGCAGACACACAGACGTGGTCGCAAAAACCGTGCAGATGGGGGCAACTCTGCAATCCATCCGCAGAGCTGTTGTTGAGGGTCGGAGCCCTCAGGGGCGGAGGGAGAGGCCGGTGGGCTGTGACGGCCATGGGCAGGCCGCGCGGCCCAGCTGCCGTGCAGAGCCTGCGGCCGGTGTCCCCAGCTCCCCCCATGGCCGTGCTGGGGCAGCGTTTGTGGCCAGGGGGGCCGATGGGCTCGGCAGCTGCCATGGCCTGAAAACAAGAGGCCATGCATTCCTGGGCACGTTCTCCTTCCCGCCCCGGTGCTGCCGTCCCCCCCTCTCGGATAGCTTTGGGGTGAGCAGCTGCCGCTCCGTCCTCTCCCTTTGGCAGCCAGCGAGGCGAGGCCGATGGGATCTGACCGGCGTTTGTCTCCCTAGATGGGAAGAGGAGTACACGGTGCGTGTCCAGCTTCAGGACCGGGTGACTGAGCTGCAGGAGGTGAGCCTTGCTGTTCCCCCTTCCCCTGCACCCCGGCTGCCCCACACTGGTGCTGATTTGCACATCTCTCTCGCCCTGGCGCAGGAAGCCCAGGAGGCTGAAGCTTGCCAGGAAGAGCTGGCCATGAAGGTGGAGCAGCTCAAGGCAGAGCTTGTTGTCTTCAAGGGACTGATGAGCAATGTGAGTCCCTAATCCCTCTCCAGCCCCACAGCAGTGTCCTACCCACGTGGTGTGGCTGTGTTGAAAAGCAGTTCCTTGGTGGGGCCCATCCAGCACTGGCAGGGTTGGTCTGGGGCACAGTGAGCAAAGCAGGGATGAGGGAGCAGTCCTGCATGAGGGGGAACGTGGGGACACCAATTGCCATCTCTCTTGCCTAATATTCCTCCCTCGTCCCCTTCGTGTGGTGCCGTGGGTTCAGAACATCACGGAGCTGGACACCAAGATCCAGGAGAAGGCCATGAAGGTGGACATGGACATCTGCCGTCGCATCGACATCACTGCGAAGCTGTGTGATGTGGCACAGCAGCGGAACTGCGAGGACATGATCAAGATGTTTCAGGTGAGAAGCGCCCGCTGCTGCTCCCGACTCAGCCACCAGCTCTGGGGAGGAGAGATCCCAAAGGAGGAGATAGAAGAGACAACACCAGCCCCCTGCCACGGGAGACGCTTGGTCACCCTCGCCCTTGCTCCTTCTGGTCCCTTGCTTTCTGTCTCTCTCGGGAGGACCAGGCAAAAGGGCACAGAGTGGAGGTGGAAAGCTCCAGATGTTGCTTTGGACATCAAGAGTTCCCTCAGCCTCTTGCTGATCTGTTGTGTTGGGCCCGGGGACCCCACAGTGCTAGGGGAACAGCTGCAGGAGGGAGACAAGGTGCTTGAGTGTCTGTCTCTAACTCCATCTCTCTCCTTTCCCTTCCCCTCTCCGTCATCTTCTCTCTGTCTCTCTTCTCTGTCTCTGTCTCTTTTCTCTTTCTGGATGTTGCTGCCTTTCTGTCTCGCTCTTTGTCCCTACAGAAGCAACTGGTTAGTTCCATTCAGTTGAGAAATTTAAAAAATTCTAAACTTTCTTTAAAAAAGGTCGGCCTATAAATATTGACATATTTCACCTTTTTCAGACTGTCTCTTTTTTCCTGTTTCTGTCACTGTGTTTCCCTGTTTCTGGACTGGGGTGGTGGGTGATTTGAGTTTTTCTGCAGTAAAACCACATTGTTTTTTTCTCATCAAATTCATAGATTCCATCTTTAGTTGCTTAGTTTTAATTTTAGAAAAATGCTAAAACCATGTTTTATCCATTGCACCCATCTTTAACCTGATCATAACGAGCCCATCTCTCTCTCTCTCTCTCTTTCTTTTCTTCCTTCCTTTCTTTCTGTCTTTCTCTCTTTCCCTGCCTTTCTGTCCCTCCACCATTCCTTTCCCCTCCATCTCCTCCCCACTACCTGCTCCTGACCTCGGACCCGGCCTCGTTTCTGTAGTCTCTGCACTTGTCTCCCGTTAAGGTCCCAGCCTCGGTGGGGCGGAAGCGGGAGCGCAAGCAGGTCAGCGACGAGGACACCTCGCTGTCGGAGAGCGATGCCTCCCGAAAACCTGACGAGGAGGAGGAGGACGAGACCACGGCCATGAGTATCAATGAGGAAATGCAGAGGATGCTGAACCAGCTGTGAGTGCAGCTGCTGTGCACTTCTGCCCATGGTGTCCAGCCAGGCTCCAGCAGCAGGCTCCCTGCTGGTCCTGGGATGGGGAGGGCAAGGGTGGTCTGTGGCTTCCCTTCCTGGGTGAGGGCGAGATGAGAGGTGCTGCTGTGGAGAATGGTCACCCTGTGCTCTGTGGCACGGTGGGACTGACCCCCTGGGAGACCTGAGCCCACCTATGCCCAGAGTGGGAGCTGGTTCAGCTCCCCTTCTCTCATCCTGCTTCCTGCCTTTTGGGAATCTGGATTTGCTGGAGCTCCTGACCATAAAACCAGCCCCTTTCCCATCAGCTGTTGGGTTCGGGCACACTTGAGTTCACCTGGCCAGACCCCCAAGAGCTGCAGCCCTGCCCGTGAGCGGGTGCAAGGCTTTGGCACCAATACAGCCCCCTGCCTGCTGTGCTCTCCTGCTGGATGTTGACGTGCTGTTCCCTTGTGCCCAGGAGGGAGTATGACTTTGAGGATGACTGTGACAGCCTCACATGGGAGGAGACAGAAGAAACGCTGCTCCTCTGGGAGGACTTCTCTGGATACGCCATTGCAGCCGCAGAGGTGCAGGGGGAGGTAACGGTGGTGTCAGGGCCCTGAGGTCTTGTTGGGTTGGATGCTTCATCCTGCCTCAGCCTGGGAAGATGCTCTCTCAAAGACCAGCTTTCAGCCCCTTTCCCTCTACAGGCCTGTACAAGATGCTCTCCTGCCTTTTCTGCATGAATACATTACAGCATCCCTGTTGAGATCTCCTTGTTAGAGACTGGCCAGGGACGTGTAGCCTGAGGGGTGTGCTGAGGGCGGGGTGCCCACATGTGGGAAGAGCCACAGCCCATCCAGAACAGAATCTGGCTGGATTGGTCTCTGGTGATCCTTGCTCATGTTCTCCAGCCCACCTACCCACTGTGCAGCAAAACTGCCCGAAGAGGGGCCTTGGTGTCTGGCCAAAGCCCTTGTCATCCCAAATCTTTGGCCCTTGGCAGTCCCCTGGGGATGCTCAGGAATAGTCTGTGCTCTCCAGATATTCAGTGCAGTGTTGGGCTTGTTCGGGCTGATGTGGTCACTGCCTGGTGTGGCAAGTCCTGAGTCTCTCAAGTCCATGTTGACAGGACTGACTCCTGTCTTATTTGTACTACACTGTATATATTTCTTCCTCTTTTCCCTGTGCTGCCAGTTCTTTCTCTGATTTGTCTCTCTCTTGCCTTTGGTTCCTCATGTTGGATGCTTCCCTGCCTCTAAACCTGCTGTCTGCTCTCCTCAGCAGCAGGATGACAGCCTGGAAAAGGTGATTAAGGACACGGAGTCGCTGTTCAAGAGCCGTGAGAAGGAGTACCAGGAAACCATCGACCAAATAGAGGTGGGAGGAGGAGGAAATGGGGGAACCATGGCACAGAAGGGTGTGAAATAGAGGAGTGGGTCCCTGGGGGAGGGATGCTGGAGCAGGTCACTGGTAACGTGGGTGACAGCCCTTGGTCTGGCCATGCCTGCTGCCCTGCACCATGTGCCCCGAGATAATCTCTGCACCATTTCCCTTGAGCAGCTGGAACTGGCCACAGCCAAAAATGACATGAACCGGCACCTCCACGAGTACATGGAAATGTGCAGCATGAAGCGAGGCTTGGATGTGCAGATGGAGACTTGCCGGCGGCTCATCACCCAGTCTGGGGACAGGTGAGCTTCAGCAGGAGAGCTGGGACACCCGTGCTCTGGGCCTGAAGCCAGGGTGGTGCTGAGAGTGAGCTGAAGGACATGGTAGAACTCCTGCCCTGCCCTCATGTGCTGTGGAGAGAGGGCAGTTCCCAGAGGCTGTTGGACTCCTGGCTGGCCTCCACACAGGTCATGGTGCTGCCTCTGCAGAAGGTAGGAGACACACAGGAGTCATTTTTGACACATGAAGGCAGACCCCCCCTGACGGAGAGAGGAGCTGCCATTGTGCAGGGACATCGTGTAAGTCCCCAAAGCTTTGGAGCCAGGGTGGCTCCAGGCTGGGGACCCCTGTGGTGGATTTCCACAGACCTCTAGCCTTACATACCTTGTCATGGTCCTGCTCGGGCAGGCCCCTCCAGCATCTCCCCCAGCTCTGCTTCATGCTCTGGAATGGTGTCCTCTGGAACACCCTCCCAAACACCCAGGGATTCCTGCAGACACACACACGCCCAAAGGGGCACTTCAGCTTCTGTCCTTCTTGCTCTGGTGACTCCTGTCCACACCAAACTGGGTCCTTTCCCTCCCCCTGGGCGATGCTATGACTGCTGCCCTTTACTGTTCTCTGCAGAAAGTCTCCTGCCTTCACCCCGACCTCCAACAGCGAGTCAGCACCGAATGAGGAGAGCGAGGAATCTGACCGTGATCCCCCCAGCGATGCTTCCATCAGATAATGAGGGGAGGCCCGGCTCCCTCGGACCCCCTTCCTGGCACGGGGTTGCCTGAGTCACACCTGGGAGAGACTGTCAGGGACGTGGAACTGCTGGTAAACGTCTGTCGCCCAGGCTCACTCCCGTTTTGGGGTGCTTGGCAGATCCCACACACCCCCTCACCGGATACCTTGCAAATGGGAATAGCTAGATAGACCTGAGGGCCCTTGCCCGGGCTGCTCTGCCTTCAGCCCCTTCTCTATTCCCTTTCCCTGCTTTGGTTAAACCGTGGTTCGGGCAGGGAGGCTCCAAACCTGCCATGGTGGCGTTCTGCAGGACCTGTTCCCAGGCGCCCCCAGACCCACCTCCTCTGGCCTCCGTCCTGGTACATTTGACCTGCCCCTGCCCTCCCTGCGCTGCACGGAGCCGAACGAGAGCCGTACCTCCCTGCAAACTGGACCTGACACTGGTGCCAACTGGACCGAGCCCGGGGCTCTCCCTGTCCTTGCTGCTGGCCGGGCGCCTGGCTGGTGCCCACGCCGTGCCGGGCACCCCGAGCCCTCCCACGCCTTCTCCAGGGCGGGGGCTGAGTCCCGCTCACTGTGCACTTTGCTTTGCCGCCCGTCGGCGATGCGCTCACGTCTGTGTTACGGGGGCGAGGTCATTAAATGGGACAATTTCCTTTTCTACAGCTCGGCTGGGTGTGGGCTCTCCCTGTGCTGCCGCGGGCGACGCGTGCCTTGAGGCGAGGCTGTGTCCATCAGACCCCAAACCCGCATCAGTGGGTCTCCCCATGGCAGTCCCAGGTGGGACAGCGGTGAGATCCCTGTTCTGAGAGCCACTGGCCCTCAATAGGCACTGGTGCTGCATGGGCTGCCTTGTTTTCAACCTGGAGTGTCACCAATGCAGAGGCTGAAGGATTGAAAATGGAACTGATCCTGGCTTGTGAACCTCTTCCTGTTTCCTGGCCTCTTCTGCCACACCAGGGCATCCCAGAGCACCTTCCTGCCTGCCCTCAGTCCCATATCCCACCTCAGTGTAACCACAGTGTGGGATCCCCTGTCCCACCATCACCTGTGGCATTTTCCTGGCTGGCTGCAGCACCTGCTCCTCTGGTGATGGGAGGCTGGGGCCTGCAGGGTGTCAGGAGGGAGTGAGCAGCCTCCAGAGAGGCAGTGTGATCTGAAGGGCAGTGTGGTCACTGAGAAGTGGACACAGCCTGCACAGCCAAGGCAGGTGAAGCTCTGGAGAAAAAATGCTTCCCACTAAAGGTTCTGAAGGGAAGAGAAAGAACATGGCAGTAGAGTTTGTGGCTTATCACTGAGATTAGGTATGGCAGATAAAATGGGGGCTGAGGGATGCAAGAGTCTCTCTGTAGCTGTGGCCTGGCTGGCTGATGCTGCTGGGTGCTTGAGCTGGGAGCGCTGTGGCATCCATGCACCGCAGCACAGTGTCCGTGTTCGGGCAGGGTGAGGTGCTCTGCCCATGCCTGCCCCATGTGTTAAGGCATGTGTTGGCATTTCAGCAGGGACTGAGCTGGTTGGAGCAGGCAGGGAGGCGAGTCCCTGCAAATGGCAGAAGAATTGAGCAGGAAACAGGAAATATGGGAGCAGGTGGAGCACTCTTGGTGCTGGGGAATGGCAGTTCCTCAGGCTGTGGTCTGCTGCGGCTCCTGACTGCTGTCTTCACTTCTTGCAGGAAGTTGGGAAAGTGTTTCACAGTTCCCAGCAGCTGCTGGGAAGCAGCAGAAGCCCTGGCTGCCTGTGGGTGTGTGGGTAGATGGGAGGTGCGTGCCTCAGTGCCTGCCGTGGCCCTCACCTCTATGCCACCTTGTTCAATTGTTTCCGTTTCTTTCCCTCTTCCCTCTATTTTTCTACCTAAAAGAGCTGAAGCCAGAGAAAATATTTTACTATTTCAGTTTTCTACTTTCAAGTGATGATGCCTCACACACACAGTAGATCAGGGATTACTTCCTATCCTGTCTGGAGGATCTTCAGTTTCGTGCAAATCCCCTTTCCTGTAGGCATCTTTGCAGTGTTTTCTTCTCTTTCTCCTGAGGAGAGTTCTGTGAGTGGCTGACAACTTCTGGCTTCCCCCGTGCATAATCCAGGACATGCATACCTTTGCCTTGGTACTGCTTAAGGAACCCGCAAGACTGCAGAGTAGATACCCTGAGAGATTTCAGGCATGAAGCACAGGAGGACTGACATCTCTGCCTCGAGCAGTCATTGCCCAGAGGAGCAGCAGGTGACAGACACCTGTGTCCCAGGACACGCGGTGACCCTGGTCCCACACTGCCTGCCAGGACTCTGTTTGCAGTGAAACCAAAATTGCTGCCCCCAACGTGTGCAAGATGCTGTTTCCTGGTGAATTGTATCACCAGCAAGGGGCTCTGTTCCCCCACCAGTCTGACGGCCTCCAAGATCTCTCTGGCAGGATATGCGGCATGGATCCTTTGCCTCAGCAATTCCTTGGTATGGGAAGGACAGCCCAAGGCCCCCGGTGTTATCTGGGCCACCTACCTGTCTAGCTGTGGTGACCCCACATTTTTGATGCTGAAATGAGATGTGGTCTCTCCATCTGCTGAGTTCTTCTCTGTGTGCTCCTTTTCCTTCTTTGGGGAGTATCGAGCCTGCTTTTCTCCACCATGTGGAACTGTGATGTCCAAGAACTGCACAGTGCTGTGTTGCTTCTTGAGTCCCTAGAGTCACCTCTGTTCCAGGACACCTCTCGGCAGTGCCTGCTCAGGAAGCAATATCTAGTCCTGTCTAGCTCAGTGTCGGTGCATTAATGTGAGCGTTTTATACCCAAGAACAGTCTGAGCACAGACTGAGTGGGGTTCCATGGCAGGATGCATCTGGGCAGTCCCTCTGCCAGCATTCAGCTCAGGACTGTGGCTGCTGAGTGCTGACCTCTTGAACATTTGTCCAAGACCATCCTTTTAGGATTGTATCTCTGGGCTGGCAGTAAGGTCTTCCCACTGAATATTTAGGCAGACTGGTTCATCAGCTTCTTTCCCCTCAGGAATGTTGGAAGGAAGATTCTCCCTTGGACAGGGTTAGAGATCCCCTAGGGAAATGGGATATCCACAAATCCATGGCCCTTGTGGGGATGCATCCACAGTGCTGAGGAGCTGGTGAACACTATAGCAGTCATCTTTGAAGGGTCTGACAGGAGAGGGGCCTGAGGTCTGGAAGAAAGCAAATGTCACCCCACTCTTCAAAGAGGCCAAGAAGGAGAACCCAGGAAACCAGTTAGCCTCACCTCAATCCAAACTGATGGAGCACTTCATTCTGGAGGTTTTCTCTAAGCATGTGGAATATGGGAAGGTGATCAGGAGAGTGGGCTTGACTTCACTAAAGACAAATTATGGTTGCCCAACATGATTGCCTTCTACCATGAGACACCTGCCTGGATGGATGAGGGCAGAGCAGGGGATATTGTCTACCTTGACTTCAGCAAGGCTTTCAATACTCTCTCTCACAAGATCCTCATAGACAAACTTAGGAAGTGTGGACTGAATGAGTGGACAGTGAGGCGGATTGGGAACTGGCTGAACAGCAGATCCCAGAGGGTCAGTCAGTGGCACAGGGTCTGGCTGAAGGCCTGTCGTTGGTGGTGTCCCACAAGGTTCAGTACCAGGCCCATCCTTGTTTAACTTACTCATCAATGACTTGGATGAAGGGTAGATGCTTCCTCATCATGTTCATTGATGACACCAAGCTGGGAGGAGTGGCCAGTACTCCAGTGTTGTGCAGCCCTGCAGAGGGACAGGTTGGAGAGATGGGCAGAGAGGAACCTTCTGAAATTCAGCAAAGGCAAATGCAGGGTCCTACATGTGTGGAAAAATAACCCTGTGTACCAGCACAGGTTGGGGGCTGACCTGCTGGTGAGCAGCTCTTCAGAGAAGGACCTGGGGGTGCTGGTGGACAAGAAGCTCCCAATGAGCCAGCAGTTCTTCCTGGTGTCCAAGAAGCCAGCGGTGTCCTGGGATGCATTAGGCGGAGCATTACCAGCAGAGCAAGGGAGGTGAGGCTCCACTCAGCCCTGGTGAGAGGAATCTGGAGTGCTGTGTCCGGTTCTGGGCTCTTCCATCCAAGAGAGATATGGAGCTCCTGGAGCAGGTCTAGCAAAGGGGAATGAAGATTATTAGGTGAGGAAGTGCCTCATGAGGAAAGGCTGAGGGAGCTGGGCCTGTTCAGCTTGATAAGGAAAGGCTTGATAAGAGATGTCTGAGAGGGGACCTCATCAATGTCTATGAGCATCTGCAGGGTGGGTGTCAGAGGAAGGAACCAGGCTCCTGTTCTTGGTGGTGCCAAGAAGACATGAGACAACGGGCAAAAACTGGAACACAGGAAGTTCCACCTGAACAAAGGAAGAACTTCTTTACTGTGCAGGTGTCTGAGCACTGGAGCAGATTGCCCAGAGAGGTTGTGGCGTCTCCCTCACTGCAGATATTCCAGAACCATCTGGAGGCAATCCTGTGCCATATCTTTGGGATGACTCTGCTTGAGGTGAGGGGTTGAGACCAGATTACTCCAGTGGTAGTCCCTTCCACCCTTACCCTTTCTGGGATTCTGACCAGGCCCACTAAATTTCTTGATGAATACTAGCAGATGTTCCCACAGAGAGGGTGGGGAGCATTACTTTCCTTGCACCTGACCACACGAGTGTGGGATGGTGCTTCACTTGCTTCAGTGGGTTCAGGAAACCTAACCACTAAGTAGCCTACATCTTCTTCCTTGCATTACCCTCCCTTCACTGATTGCTGGATCCCATCTCTTTTAGATCCTATCACTGAAAGAGTCTGACTTGTCTGTCGAGTCAGTCAAGGTCCTGTGTTTTCCACCCAGCTCCCTTCTGCTGGAGGGACTTTGTCACACATCCCGCATGACTCGTGGTGTGAGTTACCTTTCCCCATATCAGGATTCCTTGCATGGACCCAAATGGGATGCTGACAGCCTTCACCAGAACACCTTTGGATTCCAGCTAACCTGTTTTATTATTTCATTTATCATGCTTCTTATCAAGAGTTAGGAGAGGACAAAGCTGCATAGAAAGGTGTTCTTGTTTCTCAGTTTGATCCGGAAGCTTGACTTTCCTAAGCCTTTTACCTTTGGCCATACTCTTTATACATTTATGGTTGCTGTGTCTCAGGTACCGGTGACACAGGGTGCCCCAGAACTCACAGGTGATGACCAAGTAGGTCAAGTACTGTGGCTACAGGGAAGAAGCTTCCTTTCAAGAGGAGAGGTCAGAATTAATGCAAAACATGGTGGAGACTCTGTCTCATTGGAAATATACCTGGATGATGCAGGGACACACTCCTGAAAACATCTGGCAAGCTGCTGCACATGATGATTAATGCTAGGAGTGATGGTAAAGCCATCACGATCAAGCTGGACAAATGTTGCAACAGATGGGAAGAGGCAGCATTTCCAGCTTCGAGAGCAGACTGCATCTGGGCAAAGTGCAAGAGGAAATAGAAATCATCAGGGTAGGAAGAAATGTAGTTAACTGATATTTTTAAGGGTCACAGCCATATGGTAGAACTGCTAGATCAGTCTGACCTGCTGGATAAGGGAATAGGCAAGAGCCATTGTGAATTTGGTTTACAAGCAACGTTAAAAGTCATATTCACTCTAGAGCTGATAGCCAAACATGCTCTGACATACAATTTCATCAAGGCAT